TGATAATTTCCTACCATTTTGTCTGTAATTTGCTAAGTCCCCCCTATTATTATGTTATCCTTCTTTTATTCTTTAAAATAAAATTTAAAAAAAACATATAGTAAAATAGTGCAAACTTGAAGGTATAGTGCTTTTGACTGGTAAAATACAAATTTTAGTTCATATATGATTATATGTATATATGTATTGTGAGTCCTGGGATTGAATTCAGGGCCTTTGCACTGAGCTACATTTCCCAACCCTTTTTTCATTTCTTTTTCTGAGACAAGATCTCACTAAGTCACTAAGTTGCCCGGACTGGGCTCAAACTTGTGATCTTTCTGACTCAGCCTCCCAGAGCGTGAAGACTAAACATGTGTACCATAACATACGAGCTTTTCAAGGACATATTTAAACCATAGTAGGTGATAGCATGGTTTAAAGATCATCTGAGAAGTACTTGATAGAGCAAGACCAAAAGCAAAGGGCTAATGCCATTATGAGAAATACTCAGGCAACATTAAGTCAGCTCTCCTCCTTTTGGGGATTCAGAGTCTCACTATTTAGTCCAGGCTGATGTAGAACTCATGATTCTACTGCCTCAGAGTGCAGAGGAACCAAGTCTTGCCACTCACTTGCTATTGACCTTTGAGCAAATCCAAGTTTCCTCATCTGTAAAACTAATAATAATATGTGAAGGGCCAGGGATGTAGCTTGGCGGCATAAGTGCTTGCCTGGCAAGCCTGAGGTCATGAGTTTAATTCCCGGTAGCAATAAAATAAAATAAAATAAAATAATACGTCCACTGTCAGCTTCATGAGAATGAATGAGATTAAAATATCAAAATGTCTAACATAGTACCTGACACAGATACTCAAGAAATATTAGTGTAATCTGACTTCCTGTACTTTATGGAGACTTTCTTCCATGTTTTATGGGTCAGCGCATGTTTAGAGAGAAGATCTGTCACGTGAAGTCAAGCTAGTTAAAAGTTCACTCTCTGTTGCAAATCATTAGCCGCTTGCCTAATCTCTTCATGGCTGCCTGCATCTCCTGGTTCCTCAGGGTGTAGATCATGGGGTTGAGCATGGGGGTTATGACTGTGTGGCTGATGGACACAGCTTTGTCCAAGGGGAAAGGAGTGAAGGGCCGGGCATAGATGTAAATGCTTGGGACAAAGATCATAGACACCACGATGATGTGGGTGGTGCAGGTAGAAGCTGCCTTCCTCCTCGCCTGCCCTGAGTGAGACCTCAGCAGCACCAGGATGACAGTGTAAGAGACGAGAAGGAGGAGGAACCAGAGGAGCACCAGCAGCCCACTGTTGGAGATCATGAGGAGCTCCAGGAGGGAGGTGTCAGTGCAGGCTAGTCTGAGTACCTGGGGGACATCGCAGTAGAAGTTATCCAGGACGTTGGGGCCACAGTAAGGCAATGGCAGCATCAGAGCCAGCTGGACGATGGAGTGGACGAAGCCCCCCAGCCAGGCGGCCACCACCAGGCCCACACACAGCCGAGTGTTCATGATGGTGATGTAGTGGAGGGGCCGGGAGATGGCTATGTAGCGGTCATAGGCCATCACGGAGAGGAAGAAGACAATCCCACCTCCCAGCAGGTGGAAGAAGAAGATCTGGGCCATGCAGCCCCAGTAGGAGATGGTCTTGGTCTCGTGAAAGAAGTCCACCAGCATCTTTGGGCAGGTGACCGTGGAACAACAGAGGTCTATGACAGCCAGGTTTCGGAGCAGAAAATACATAGGTGTGTGGAGTCGGGGCTCAAAAGTCACTGTGACCATGATCAGGAGGTTTCCTACAACTGTGGTGATATAGACAAATAGGAACACCAAGAACAGAAAGTTCTGGAGCTTCTGGGTCCGTGAGAATCCTAAGAGAACAAACTCAACCACCCACGTGATGTTCTGTGGTTCCATGGGGTTTTCCCTGTCTGCCTAAGGAAAGATCATAGAAAACAAAACAAAACCCACGAAAATTTTACCACTTTCTTTGGATAGTCAGGACTAAACATACTTCATTATTTTCTCTATGGCCACAATTCCTGTTCAGGTTACAACTACCGCATACTTTATATGCCTTTATCAGTCAGAGGTGAACACTGAAAGTTTTACAGATGAACAAAAATCTTGATCCTTGAGGTAGTCTATAAAAGGAGCACAAGCATATAAACAAGATTGGAATATGGTTAGTAATTACTGGAAAACAGTGATAGGCACATTGAAGTTCAGTACACTACTTTCCCTTCTTTGTGAATGTATAGGTATTTCCATGATAAAGCAAAAGATCAAAAGTCTAGTTTTGGTCCTGATGTCTTTGTGTGATTTGGGAATTTTTACTTTGATTTTCTTTTTTTTTTTTTTTTGGTTTTTCTCCGGTACCGGGAACCGAACTCACGACATTGCGCTTGCCAGGCAGGCGCTTTGCCGCTGAGCTAAATCCCCAGCCCCGGGAATTTTTACTTTGAATGAAATATATATACATATATAAAACAGAAGAAAAGGATTTGAAGATAAAATAACATATGACAGAATCTTATCATCTAGAAACATGGCCAGTTATTTTTAAATTCTTGACAACTGTATATAAAATTTCTTTATGCTATACCAGATACAAAACCTCACAAATCAATTATTCACAAATGAGAAAGCGTACCATAATTATGATCCGACTCCCAGATACTATGTAGTACTATCAGCTCTTGTCAGCAATTTACCTGTTCGTATAAGTGAATTTCTATCTATTCCTGAGAGCCATTTGCAATTATGAAAGATGTGATGGGCAACAAACCCTAAAGAAATAAGATGCCACCAAAGTTAGGAAATGTTCAATGGTTTACAATTTATCTTTTATTTATTTGTTTTTTGTCTTTTTGAGACAGGGTCTTGCTGTGTAGTTCAGGCTGGCCTTGGGCTAACTTTGTAGCCTAGGCTGGTCTTGAACTCGCAACAATCCTCCTGCCTCAGCTTCCCGAGTGCTGGGATTACAGGCATGCATCACCATGCCTAGCTGAAAACTTATCTTTTAAGAGATGTTCATGGTTTCTTATTGCCAATGGAAAAACAATTCAGATTTGTCTAGAGTTCACAAATCACGTAAGGTGTTAAAATTAAAATATAATAACCAATAGCTCATATTTTGGATTATCACATTAAATTTTTTTAACTTATAACTTTCATAACTGTTGAGAGTTTAGAAAAATAGATAAATCACTAGTGGTATATCCATGCTAGAAGACAATCTTACATATGTGTTAAATCCATAAAGTATTTTTACTGTCTGTCCTAGTAAATTCTGTCTTAGGTATTTGCTTCAAGAAAAAAATGAAATTAAGTTTTAAAAGGTATTTTTATGGCTGTTCACCACAGCATTGTTATAATAATTGATTAGCTGGAAATAATGTAATTATACAACTATAAGATAGAAGTTAAATAAAATATGGTACCTCTATGTGATAAAATACTAGTTAGTAATAAACATGTTTTCTATTTGTTTTGGTGCTGGAAATCTAACTTAGGACCTTGCACTTTCCAGGCAGGCACCTGTGCTACTGAGCTATATCCTCGGCCCTAAATATGTATTCTAAATAACATTTAACTATATGTGATTTTGTTTTATCATGCAGTGTCATTGTTTTGAAACTTTTTGTTTTTGAGACAAGATCTCTCTATGTGGATAGACTGGGCTTAAACTTACTTTGTAGCTCTAGCTGGCCTTGAACTCTCAGGGATCCTCCTGTCTCAGCCCCCTGCATGCCTGGATTACAGGAATGCACCATCACACTTGGATACTAATTGCCTAGGTTGACCTCAACTCATCATATTGCCTAAGCCTCTTTTATACCTAGTACTATAGGCATGCTCCACCACAAATAGCTAGTACTGTTGTTTTAAAGAGAAAATTACAAAACATTTTGTTAAAAGATGCTGTAAAAGCAGGATTAGGGATGTAGCTAACCACCCAGTGGTAAAATGCTTGCCTAGCATGCAGGAGCCCTGGAATCAATTCCTACTACTGTACTCTTAAAAAAAAAGGCAGAAGATGAAAACAAAAAATTAAAATGTTAACAGTGAGGCAGGCATGGTGGCATTTGCCTCTCATCCCAGGACTCTGCGAGGCTGAGCCCTGCCTGTGCAATTTAGCAGCCCTGTCTCAGGGAATAAAATAAAAAGGACCTTTAGTTCAATGCCTGGTAAAAGAAAAGAAAAAAGTTAACAATGAGCAGTGGTTACTCCTGCTCAGTAAGATTGACAAATGTGTATTTTCGCCCTCACAAAATACAATTATAATTTTTTTTTGAGACAAGCTCTTGTTATGCAGTTCAGGCTGGCCTTGAGCTCACTTTGTAGCCCAGGCTGGTCTTGAACTCACGGTGACCCTCGTGCCTCAGCCTCCCGAGTGCTGGGATTACAGGTGTGCCCCACCGCGCCAGGCTTACAATTCTAATTTAAAGAAAACAAGAGAAGTATTATGATGACAGCAGAAAAGAAAAAAAGCTAAGGGCTGGAGACTTCTTAGTGTTGCTCGGCACCAGCACTGGCATGGGCTGAAGATGACCCAGGTGTGTGAGGGGCAGCATCCAGGGAAGGAGAAACCTCAGGAGTGGAGGAAAGGGGAGAGGCGAGAGGAGGGGAGAGACGCAAGTGATGGGGAGAAGGAATGGAGCTCTTTGAATAAGAGGAGAGAAGGAGCAGTGACTCCCAGCACCACTGAGACCGCCCACTCCCTCCACTCCAGAGGATCTTAGCAAGGTCGTCATTCATTCTAAGACGTGTTAGAATATTTGGAAATACTTCCTCTGCCTCCGCAATTTCCAGGGTGTCTTTAATGGTCAGCAAGCGTGGCTCCTTCCTCAGCCACATCCCTGCTCCACAGGACACTGGGACCTGTCCCTCTCTGTTTTGACTCTACACCCAAATTCCTTTCTCTCTACTACTCCCTCTCCCACTTCTTTAACCTTGCATCCTGCATGTATCGTGGCCGAGGCAGATTAGTTCTTCCTTTGAAATTGCTGCCAATTTTCTCCTCCTCTCTGACTTATTGCTATGGGCATCCCAGTGGGGTCCTGCCCCCGGGTTGTGCTCTAGTTCTCAAGCCACCGTGTGCAACACAGTATGTACATCTGCTTCCTAAAAGACACCTTGCTCCTTTAATTCAAAATGCTTACAAAGTTTTTTCATGGCTCCTTACAGTCTGCAGGGAATAATTCCTGTTTACATGGGTTCTCAGGGGCTTCCTCACAGAAGCTCCTTCACGTCCTTCTAGATCCATCTGCCACTTACTGGTACTCATAGTAATAATTCATTGTAGCAGTGATAGTAATTGTCTTTATGATAACAAACAGCTACTGTTTATTATGTTCTAGGCACTATACTAAACATTTTATACACATTTATCCAATTTAATTCTCACAGAAGATTTTCATGCTTCTAAAGTACATTATGTGCTATAATCTATCTTTGCCTTAACATAAGTGGACTCAGACTTAAAGAGGTTAAATAATTGAACCTGCTAATACAGAAAATGAGTAGCAGAGCTGGCATTCTAAACCAGGTCTGACTGACCCCAGAATCTGCTCTCCTAACTACCTTTCTCTCCTCCCTCCTCCTCCACTCTCAGAACCCAACAAAACTGATCTTGTTGGTTCCTCAGGTCTCAGTGCCTTTCACCAGGTCAGTGCCCCAGCTGGATTGCCTTTTCATCCTGTTCCTCTGTCTGAATTTGCCCTTCTTTGATGATTCAAGAGTAATTACCACTTCTGACATTGGCACATGTTGATATTTTTCCATGAGAATGATTCGCCTTCTCCCAAGTGTTGTGAATTTCACAGTATCTGAGCACACAAAGCTTTTCCCATGGATGGGTCCTGAAAGTGTGCTTGGTTGTTTGTGGATAAAATGCTGTAATAGACCAATCGCTGAGAGTTGAGAAGAGAGTGAATAGCTACTGGGTGAAAGAGCACATTTTAAGAGACCTTGAAGGAAATCTAAGAATCCCATTTTCTAACATGACCAGACTTGCATACGTAAAACATCATCTTAGCAAAGTCATCATTCATTCCAAGATGTGTTAGAATATTTGGAAATACTTCCTCTTCCTCCATGCATGTAAATTTAGGGGGTTTTATACAGGAAAGATTTAAAAAGGTTCTAGACAGAAAAAACAGACATAAGGGGAGATATGGATACGTATGCAGAAAAGGGAGCATTTCCCACACACAATTTACAACTATTTTTATCAGACTGCTTAGTTTTGTTACTCGATTATGTCTCTCACTGATCTTAGCTTTGAGATCAGTCCACATATGACTTAGAGAGAAAGGATCGAAGGGAAATAAGTGAGATCCAGATATAGGAGTGAATCTATTCTGTGGCCATCCTGGGAGCAACAACAGATTTTATTAAACACAAGATTTAAGAACAAGAAGGATAAGGTGGAGGGGTGGCAACAAAAAAAGGACTGCAAATCTGGAGTGAGTGGGAGAAACACTAGGCAGAAGAAGGAGAAAGATGAAGGAAGAGAAGAGTATTAGAAGGAAACATTAGAGGGTTGGGAGTGTGAAAGAAAGACCTGGTTGTGTTTTCTCTTGGGTGTAGGAAGAAGCTGCAGTAGGGATGTAGGAGGTGGGGGAGAGAACAGTGTATTTATATTCTGTTCTCCCTCTTACCTTCAGTCCTAAATTCTACACAACACACAAAAAAGTGAAGACAGACATTAGTTCCAGATAAAAACCAACTGTTTGCCAGGTCTGGTGGCCCACACCTGTAATCATAGCACTTGGGAGGCTGAGGCAGGAGGATCGCCATGAGTTCAAGGCCAGCCTGGGCTACATAGTGAGTGCAAGGCCAGCCTGAGCTACATAGCAAGACCTTGTCTCAAAAAAAAATTATTCTACAAATCCCATTTCTCCCTTATTCTT